AGTCAACGACCAACATACGGCACAGCTAGTCTATTACAGTGGAAGAAATAGCATTTAGTATTGATCCCTCTCAATTCCTAAGAGGGCAATGTTAATCTAACTTCTGTTTTCTAAGTAACAGACATATTGCTGTTTTATCTCAAGGAAAAAAAATATTCTAGATGTTGTTTCCGGCTATCCTTAGAAGAAGTCAAATGTAGTCAAGTTCTCTTTATTGGCTTGTTACTTAGTTTAGCATGTACCTTGCTTTACCCTCTCCTGAGCCCCACCCTTGCCCCTTACCCACCTCATTCCATCCCCATTTCCACTCCTACTGTTTTGTTCCTTCTCATTATTTTGATTCAACTCAACTCAACTAGTTAAATTCATGTCTCATTCATGGGGCCTTTCTCAGTACAAGGAGCTTACATGATGCATGGATTATCTTCAAGGAGCTCCCAATTGAGTAGTGGGGGGACTACATGTGGAAATTAAGAAGCACCAAGATTAAAAATATATTTGGAGAACATTAAAAAATTTTTTTAAAGGCGCTCCTGGGTGGCTCAGTTGGTTAAGTGTCCAACTTCAGCTCAGGTCATGATCTCACAGTTCATGAGTTCAAGCTCCACGTCAGGCTCTGTGCTGACAGCTCAGAGCCTGGAGCCTGCTTTGGATTCTGTGCCTCCCCCTCTCTCTCTGCTCCTCCCCAACTCGTGCTCTGTCTCTCAAAAATAAATAAACATAAATAAAATAAATTTAAATTTAAAAAAAAAAGTGTTTGGAGAAAGAGGCAGTGAAGCTGAACCAGTCGGCGAGACCACAAAGCTCTGGTTAAACCAAGGGGGACATTCCATGCTACCAGCCACTCCTCATCTTTTCCAGGTTATCTGGATGTCTAAACTATCCTTGGCATCCTTATCTCTCATTTGTATGTAAATATAAATTAACCCCCACAAATTTGATGTAATCTGCTGGTTACTGTTATCCAGAAGCTATGTGATATTCTTTTTTAACTTTTCTAAGTTTATTTATCTTGAGGGAGACGGAGAAAGCGCAAGCAGGGGAGGGGCAGAGAGAGAAAGGAGAGAGAGAATCTCAAGCAGGCTCTGCAGGGTCAGCACAGAGCCCAATGAGGGCTTGAACTCACAAAACTGTGAGATCATGACCTGAGCTAAAACCAAGAGTCAGGCGCTTAACCGACTGAGCCACCCAGGTGCCCCTTGTATGATATTCTTATCTAAAGGGTCAATCTTGTGATGAAAAAGCTTTGTCATTGGAGTTTGAGGTGTTAGCCTTCATTATGTGATGTATTGTTGGGCCAGTTTTTTAACCACTTGGAGCTGCGGTTATCTCGACTAGGAAATGAGGACAACAGCCCAGTCATGGTGCTGTCCTGAGGGCAAAATCAGACCACAACTGTACATACATACCTTCCCCTTAGTATTAACACTCCCTGGACTTCCCTAGCCCTGTTCAAACTGAAGGTGAATTCCGGGCAGAGTGGCTACAGCCCTCTCCAGAGACTGGTTTCTATGCCACCCTTCATTTTAGTTGGTTTCATTATGGTAATCATCTCAACATTACTGAGACACAAGACAGGCATATGGACAACTTCCCCCCACCCCTATTTAGCTTCCAATCCCATTATTGGTTTAAAAAAAAAAAAAAAAAAAAAAGGCAAGCAAGCAAACCTCTTACAACGCTAGATGGGATTGGTCTCATTCTCACAAACAGAAATGAACATAAATCTACTCAACTCTAAGGACACCATATTCACACCACTACAGAATCGCTTACACCCAGAAGAGCCTGAAACTGTGTCCCTGTCTGGTTTAAATTCCCCTACTCTTTCTGTCTCCTTCTTTCTCCACTTTTCCATTTCTATCTGCTTATTCTCTTCATTTTGTCCCTTTCCCCTCTGAATGTCAAAATGTCCACCAGGGATCCTGTGGGTTTCATGGAAGACACCCATGGATCTCAGGATGGGAGGAAGAACCTGTTGTTTGGGTGGCTAGAAAGAAGGAAAGCTCTCACAGCTTTGAGCCTGCTCTGACCCCCCAAACAAAATCCAGTAGGCCTATATTCACTTGTTTGCTGGCTTAATTCTCCAGAAAAAGAATCCATAAAACTCAATTATAATCTGCCAGATTATGACAAAACCAGCTTGGACAGATGCGACTTCAGTACATTGAAGTCCAGCGCTTGATGCCAATATACATTAAATGAAAAGAAGGGCACAGTGCTTCTTGATTTGGGTGTTCCAGATTAACACACCCTAGTTTAGTGGGGGACACCTATACCGCTCTCTTCCATAATAAAAACGGCCAATTTGCAGCAAGAAAGATGGATGTCTCTTACTGAGCAATCACTAGTCAGACAGCTTCCAACCAAGCTGTAGCGTTAAAGCAGTCCTGTCTTAAGCTTTTGTCCACCTCCAGGACTTCCAAGTTTCGCCAGAGACGCGGGATGATGGCTTTTGTCAGTGGCCAATAGAGAGTGTGAAATAGACACTCTGACACCACTGTCCCCAGGAGGATAGGTATGCAGTGTTGTGGTGTGGACGACAGCTCCCTGGCAGCTCTCTGGTTTCTCGTGTGCTCTGAGAACACACCCCGCAGAGTGCATTCATCACAATAGCCCATGTGTGACCTTTGGAAAAGTCCTTGAAAACAGTGAAACAGGAGTCTTAGTTGAAATCTGGAATCCATTCCCGTCTTACACAGGAAGAAAATTAGGCATAGAACAACAAAGCCCAGAGTTCAGAGAAACCTGGGGAGGCTCTGGCTGACATTAAAATCATGGAAGATTTTTCTTCCTCCATTAGTCTGTATTTCGTAAAAGCTTTTCATCTGAGTAGCCCAAAGCTGCTACAAAATGCTGTATTGTTACTAGGTGACAATAGCTGGTTTCTCCAGTGAATAAAGCTTGCAGAATAAGAAGAGAGATGCTGAGTAAAGTATTAAAAACCAATTACTAAACACTTTTCCAGGCTACTAAGTAAATGCTATTCCCCCAAATATAAGTGGCTGATACCACCATTTCCCCCGTTGGAATAATGGATCGGCAATAATGGCGTTAGGGCTGGGAGGTTAGTACAGATAGAATGACTGTGCTTCCTAAGCCCTAACTCCATGATGGAGTTCATCAGCCCAGATATTGTGGATCTGGAAATATTCATCCACTTAGAGCATGAATCAGCAGAGTTGTGTGCTTGCTCAGTAAATTTAATGCGACAAACATTTGTGGGCTAACGCTCTTTTATAGGTACAGACCAATTTCCTTTTGTCTCCAGCTGATATTACTCACAATAATGGGCCATATCATATATTTTTATTTCAGACCTATGAACAATTATAAACCTGTACTCCCTCTAGAAGCACTCTCCTTCTTTGTCAGTAAGAAGAGAAGGGCAGGACATTTCTGAGTCCAGTGGTGGCATATAATCCAGGGAAAATCGATTGGCAGGGAAATTCGGTTTGGAACTGTGTGTAAGAATCCATCTAAAGTTTGTCTGGGAGGTCCCTCAAAAGGGTTACAGACCCTGAACCAAACAAGATGATTCAGAAATAATCCAGCTGGGGGAATGGCATCTGATGCTCAGACCTAGAACACTTATTCATGCAGATGAATAAGTTAATTTTGTTTTTTTCTTAAGTACCTTCACAGTTCATTTTTTATTTTCCTTATAAAAAAAAGTAAATGGTATTACTCTGGTCTCCAAAACAGATGCCAGTTTGAACTTTACTCTGCCAGCAAGTATTTGGTTTGGCACTGCAGGGCTTGAGCTGAAAAAATATTTGCCGATTCCAAAAAGATTTAACGAGCTTTGCTGAAGATGCTGGTGCCATTTGGCATGTCACAGGGACTGTGACACGGCAAAGAGAACTCTCTTAACCACAGATTTTATTTGCCCAAGGTAGCCAACGCTGGGAATTCAGGCGCTTCCTTGAATCAAGGAGCTGAAAGACAAATGAGTAAAATTTCCAAGAGAAAAGTGACCAAAGCAGCTGTAAAAAACAAAACAAAACAAAACAAAAAAACAAAAAACCTTGCTGCCATTGAAAATGAAGCCACCGGGTTCTGATGGTTAATTTTCAGAACTGTCAATAACATCTTCATACCAGCCATCAGACAGGGTCTCCAACCCCTTCAGTCAGGAAACCAAATAAATCTCTAACTTGTAGCGAAACTATTCTTATCCAATATCAGACACTAAAAACTTTGCTACAGTGTATTTTGTTGCCATACTATACCCTACTAATTGTGGTGTCAGAGTTTAACTACATGAAAACTGAAAGACCTACTTCAAGTAACTCTACAACCAGCAAATTTACTTTATGGTGCAAAGACAGACATGCATTGCTTTTATTAAAATTTAGTAGAATACAATGCATACATCTTTCCCTGTGATTGGAAAGACTGACCTGACTACACATAAATCTCATATGTTAAAAGTCACCAAAGGTTGTCACCTAAAATCATGTATTTCAGTAAGAGGTGCAGTTACCCACAGGAAAACAAGGCTGTGATCCTCTGAGTTAACGTCACATCTGACAGCTATAATAAAAAATGAAAAATATTTCCGTACTCGTGTGTGCTTAAAAAATCATATGTCTGTTTTCACGGATATGGGGACAGGAAGAGTGGCACTGAAACTGTAACCACCTTGAAGAAGAGAAATTCTGGATTGTTTTTGTTTATTTCACATTCTGAGAAAATATACACATACTTGGGGATATCCCACCTCAACTCCTACGGGTCACCCCAGACTTTTCAATGTCCTTTTCACTAAGGCCATGTGCCGATCCAATGCTTGTTCCATGGTCACCTGATGCCAAGCTTCAATAACAAATATCCTCAAAAAGCAAGCCAAGCTCGTCCTGCTTTTCCACAGAAAAGACCTTTTCACCATAAACAACGGCGGAGCTATCTACCTAACTTAACTGAAATGTGGAGGTCAGAGTAGAAATCAAAAGACAAAGTCACGAAACAACAGAAGGATGATGATAATTGTTATTTACCATTTTGGCTTCTGAATGCATTGGCTGGACTTGGGGAGAAGCACAGGGGTTGCTGAGATTTGGAGCTTGCATTCCCAGGAGGTTGGAGTTCACTGACATCTGTCTCTCCATCTAAGAGAAAGGAAAGCAACAGAATCAGAGTCTGAGAAAAGCAGTCTAGGTCACAGACAAAGCTGCATTTCTCTTTCAAGTGGGTCATTTGGAATCTCTTTGAATAACTCTGGAGAGAGACTGTGGTCTGGGGAAGGTAGGCAACACATACTGCTGAGCCTCAAACTCAAGGACATCAAAGAATTAATCCAAAACCAGGCCTTCTATCAGAGATGCCCCATGCCAACAAGAACAATGTTGTCATGATACATTTGCAAACAAAAGTATGGACTATTTCCACTTTTGCAAACACTCCAACTACCACTAGTCATGCTTCTTTTTATAAATAGAAAGAATAATGTATGCATAGAAAAGTGCTGGAAAGATATCCACCAAATGGTTATCTCAGGTTATCCATGGCTTTTTCTCCCCTCCTTCAGTTTTATGCAAAACCATGAATCATATTAGCAAAAGAAAAACATGAAATTAATTTAAAAAGTAATGTTCCCAAAGACGGTGGGTCTTCTTGACCCTGTAACTCATAAACACAGTCAAGATGACCAACAGGTATTTGAGCTACTGCCCCTGGCACTCCCCCCCTCCCCCCGCCAGTAAACCTAGTCATGACCCTACATCGCAGCAGCTCTCAGCTTCACAGCAGGGCTAGGCCTTGGGGTGGATGAGGAAAGCAGTGGAGGGCACTGTATGACATGGGACCGACCACTCCAATCTTGTCCTTCTGGCAGCCATCAGGCCTAGAATTAACATCGTTTAAGTACCTGCATGAATTCTGGCATTTTTGTCTCCAGGGTGTCCCTGTTGAAGAGTAAATACAGCCAGATCTCTCTTTCAGTTGGGAAGGGTGTGTCTGATTGATTTTTTTTTCTGTGTAGTCGAAATTTAGCACTTTTCAAAGAACTAAAGTAAAGCAAGTACACTTAATACTCGATCACACAGAGAATAATTAGACTTTCCTCAAGAGGAAAAAATAAATTCTTCAATACAAAAGTTCTTCCACTTGGCAAAAGATGAAACGAAAACAACGGTCAGAAATTTCAGGAAACCAGGGGCACCTGGATGGCTCAGTTGGTCGAGTGTCCAACTCCTGATTTCAGCTCGGGTCATGATCTCGGGTCATGGTTGTGGGATTGAGCCCTGCATCAGGCTCTACAGTGAAGAGCCTTCCAGAAGCTTTGCTGGCCACGACAGGTGTGTAGGTTTTAGTGTAGCTGTAATGGGAAGCTATTTTTGAAATGATCGTCCTGCCTGCAATTGGAAGATGGATTACAGGAGGCGAGAATGGAAACAGAAGTTAGTGGACAGGTTGGTGGGTTAGCTCAAGTGTGGGGCTTACTTAAGATTCTCTCTCTCCCTCTCCTCCTCTCCCCTAGTTGTGCTCTCTCTCTCAAATAAAACAAAAAAAAAAAAATTAAAAGTTAAAAAAGAATTTCAGAGAACCTGGCTTCTGCTCAAAGTTAGCTGGGGTAGTCTTGGAAAATACAGTGTTCTTTATCACTGGAGCTCTTCCAAGAGTGGAGGACAAGAGTTGAAACCTCACGGACAACAGTTGAAAGTCAAAGTTAAGGTGAATGTCCCTTTAGGGTCCCTGCCGTGCTTGAGTTCCATCCATGCAATCCCTGCTGGGTCTGCCCAGGCGTGGCACTGTAGTTACCGATGTTAATGTGTGGAGTAACAGAGGTGCTCACTAAATGACATAGAGTGATGGGTGGACAGCCCCTGTCACAGCAAGGCACCATCAGCTGTACCTGAGCCTGAAAGAGCATACCAGTTATCTGGTAGTGGACCAGATCTGGTAGTGAAACTGCTTCAAAAGTTTGATGAAGAATTTCCTATATATTTTAGAGTATTCCAGAAAAAACTTCTGAGGACTTAGCAATTCAGTACAACAACATGTTCACTCTCACATGCCCTCTGAGTCTCAGGTAGTCTAGGTATTTTATTTTTTATTATTGTCTTTATAATTCTGGTAAAATATGCGTATCATAAAATTTACCATTTTAACTATGTATAAGCATACAATTCAGAGCTATTAAGTACATCCATGTACTCTAACCATTAAGTCATGAAGATGGCTCCACCAAATGCTTATTACTTATAACACCCACTTGCAAAGGCTGGAGAATGGGAGACTTGGAAAGGCATTTGGCAATTCCCATTGGTGACCTTCTCCTAGGGCTTTTGCTTTCAGTTTCTTGGAGGAAGGTCATTGAGAAGTATCAATGATTATACGGAAGTTTCCAAGCAGCTATCCAAGTCCAAATGACTTCAAGCCCAAATGACAATCAAGTCCAAATGACAGTCAAGTCCAAATGAGCTTTTGCTCTCAGTTTCCTGGAGGAAGGTCATTGAGAAGTATCAATGATTATCTGGAAGTTTCTAAGCAGCTATCCATCATGCACTGCGAGGATGTGAGAGCAGCTTATTTGCAGCCTTGGGTTTCCCACTTTGTGGAAAAGTTAGTCTATGACTATTTCTACTCCTTGACTCACAAATTCAACAGCATGTTGAAAACAGGCTGATTCCTCTACCTAAAAAAAATTGCATTTTCCACCGTAGTGAGTATAAGGGGTCAGCAAGAGCCTCTTCAAGACAATGATTTGTGCTTATAATAATAAGGCTCTACCCCAAAAGTGTGCTTGGTTGAGGTGACTAGAATCCAGAAGTCAGAAGACGGGAGTAGTTTGCTGGACACTCAGTAACATTTAGCACCACAGGTAAAATATCCAGGTAAAGGTTTTCACCTTTTTTTTTTTTTTTTGGAATTTCTCCTTTGTCCCCATAACAAATCAAAACAGGAGCTAAAATGTCCACAGGTCCCTGGGCTTTTGTAATGATACATGAGGATTCTTCTTCCCAAATTATGTCAACATTTGACGTTCAAGGTAGGAAATCACAACACGGTGAAATCCTGCCTTGTTGTTCACACATCCTTAGCATCTAGCACAGCACGTGACCCCCAGGAGGTGCTCAGCAAGGCCGAGGAATGAACGAATCAATCCATGCACGAACAAATGCATCATTTTGCTTCCGACCGAGGACCTTATGAGATGAGCCGTCTGGCCATCTCACCTACATACAGACTGATCTTTTATACCAGGAGAATCGCGGTTTCCCAGGGCGGGAGCTCTAGGGGAAGACTATGCTTTAAAATGCCAAACTCTTAGCACACGAGCAGGAGACTTGATAACAAGGAAGAGTGGGCCTAGATTTCTAGAACCAGGGACTCGTAAGGTATCTTTTCTTAGAGATTTTATGGCCGTTTTCATTAGTTACCTTAGTGTCTCTCCAAAACCAAGGTTTCTCAGCCTCAGCACCCTTGACGTCTTGGACCCAAATAAATAATTTTTTTTTTTTTTTTGGTGGGGGCTGTCCTGTACATCATACAAGAAAGCATCCCTGGCCTCTCCCTACGGATGCCAGTAGCACCCAGTTGTGATGAAGCAAGGGGATCTCCAGACATTTCCAAATACCTGCTGGGGGAGAAAATCGCCCCCAGCTGAGAATCAGCCCTCTAGACACACTATTGTCGTGGCAGCTGTCCACGTCAGTGACATGGGCTTGGGAACTCGTGTGGGGTGGCAGCCCTGACTTGCTGTCTACACTGGCTCTTGATCATGCACCTGGTCTTTTACTTCTCTTCTGAAGCATCAACAGGAGGTCAAGGTGTACAAGGACATGATGTGGGGGAACCAGGGCCAGACACCTATTCTCTGTGCTCCTTGAGCCCGTGTCCCACCTTTGTCCCTGGAAATGGTACAGTTTACTCAAGTGGGAGGAGAAGGTCACTCCAGTGGCACTTTGTAGTTAATGGATAGAATTTATGAAAGGAAACCAATGTTGGACGAGAGGGATTTACAGTCTAAATGAAGACCGCTTATGGTGGAGGTCTTCGTGCAGCTGGCTGGGTTGAATAAAACCTGGGATAGTGGCATTAGTGGCACTATTGTCCTTCACCTAAAGATGTTTCAGGTGAGCAATGCAGGTAGTGTGTCAACTCCTCTGTTCCTTTTGGCCCGGTTTTGCAAAGACCATTTCTAGCCAGGACTACCCAAGACTTATCGTAGGCAGGCCCGTTTCTCTGAACTTGGGCTTCCGAGCCCCTATCCCCCTCTGCCTCCACCAAGATAAATCGGCAAACTGCTCAACCTCCGAGAATCTGAGCTGCTCGGCATTAGCTGGGATGGGGCTCGTCACAGCTGTGTGACATTAGGCAGCTGCCTTCGACGTCTTACCCTTCAGCTCCTCATCCGTAAGATGAGTGTGTCAATAATGACTGCGATCCCATTCCCACAGGATTGCGATGAGAGCAATGCGAAGTGACAAACGTAGACAATTTCTTAAAAATGCCAAAGTGCTCTTCCAGGCATTGTTGAAACTCTTGTGGGAGGGTTTTCATTGACTTGTCACATTACCTCTAGGGCTTTGAAACACTCCTGTGGCCCCAGGAATAAAAACACCAACCATGTTCCCTCACTTACAAAGCCAGGGAGGATGAAGAAGGATGGGGAGAGGATCCCGTGGAAGGAGAACAAGGTTTATTCTGGAATAGTCTGTATGTCCCTTCTAGGTGAATGTGTTTTCAGAGGCAGGGGGTATTATGTAATGAGTAAGTGGAGACTCCAGAGTCATACCACCTGGATTTGAATCCTGACGCTCCATCACTTACTGCAACTTCAGCCAGTACCTCAGTTTTCTCATCTGTAAAATGGAGGTCATAACAGGGCATCCCTCACGTGTTTGTTTGATGGTGAAAGCAGGGAATGTGTGAACCATACAGTAGTTGACAGTGGGTTTAAAACTCAGCTATGCTGGTTCTCAGCCAAGCAAGCTACCTGCCTTAGTCTCTTCATTCAAACAATGGGGAATAGAAATAGTACATACCTGACAGGATTGTTTCATGTGTTGAGGAAGTGGTTACAGAGGGACTAACACATGGTAAACATTCGATAAATGTTGTGAGTAGAATATGATATGCAGGACTACATATTAGCAGGCATTATGTACCAGTGGTATTATTTTTATTATGATAATTGTTACTCTGAGCCTGGCTAGACCACTCCCTGGTGAGTTAAAGACACTCTGTATTATAGCCCAAGCTATATAGACTTTGGGCTGGCCATAAAACATTGTGTCCTTGAACAAATTCCCTTCCCTGGGTGTGGCAAGCTCACCTATCGCCGGCAGGAAGATGGGGCCAGGCCTCACTAGGAGAGCACTGAAGGACAAGAAAGCCGGCAAGATGCCTAGCGACAGACAACTAGGCCCTCTATCCAAAGTAGCACACAGCTCAACTCTTCATCCAGAAGAAGGCACTCTCTTCCCAGCTTAGATCTCAGCTTTTTGTTAGTGCCTTCCAAAGAGCAAGCCTTGGTGGAAGCAAGAAGCACTTACTGGCATCAAAACGGCAGAAGATCCCGGCATTGTTGGGTTGGGCAGGGTCCCAGGCATGGAGGCTGGCATGGGCTGTCTCTGTCTGTTGTGGAGATGTAGCAGAGAAGATAGAGAGCCTGGGACAGGCCTGGCAACACAGAGAAAAAGCAGACATTATTCCTGATGCCTTGGGGCAGGGGATTCACCGCCTGTGTCCACAACCAGCGGGGACAACGCCATTACGTGAGCAACGGATCCAATCCTCTGATGGCAACCGCATAATTGAGGATATTAGGGAAATAATAACAAATAAAACACAAGCCTGGCTTCCTCTGCTGCTTCCTAGTTAATACATCAAATTCCACTTCATTTCCTGACCTCTGTTATCTAACTCATGTTCAATAGTCAACAAGTCGGTCAATTCCTAGAACCCCTGCTTCTTAGGGGAGAGGCTAGGGGGTGAAACCCTGTGTTTGCTCAGAATTCTCTGCCCTTTGGGAGGATCTTAGACCCTGAGATCTATGTACGTTGCTTTTATCCACACTCTCTGACGCCTCTGCCTGAAAGCCCTCCCGGCTTTGCTCGGAACATACTTTCACTCTCTGGATTTGGATAGCTGACTTTATTCATGAATTCCCAACAGAAATTTGTTTTGACTTTTTCATAGTTCTCCAGCGTGGGTGGGAAAAACAAAAAACAAAGCCAGGACCCGGACCCAAGGAGCAAGACTGAGGTTCATGCCACTGTGGCCGGCCTTTTTCGGCCCAGCCCCCAATTACCAATCCCTCATTTTATAATAACTGGAGGTGTTAGGCTGTTTGACAGAAACTGATTTTGGCCCGGCCTGCAGAACTTGGGTAAGCATTCCTCGGGGGAGTACACAGTTTGAGCTTTTGCTTCAATTTGCCAGAGGAAAAAAAAAATTTTTTTTAGGAACTTAAATTGATTTAATGAGCCAGGGAATGTGTGGCTGAGGGAAAAAGGAAATTATTTGTGTTTATGAAAAATGGCAAATAAGTGACCTCCTCAGCTAAATTCTCAATCTCCTGATGCTTTCGCTCTGGGGAGCTCTATAAATGTCAAACCATTAAATTCAAGATTTAACAAATAAAACAAAGCGAATAAACAAACAACCCTCCATGCCCCCTGCTGCCCCGTCCCCAGGACCTCTGAGCCTCTCATGTTAAGACACCTTATGCTGAATGCCACAGAAGAAGCTTTTGCTTCCAGGATTAACGCATTTTCTTAAACGGAAAAAAGATTCCCTCCTGCTAAGTGCTGGGTAATGACTTCAGATGGAGGTGTTTGGTGTGGTTGGGTGTCTTTCTATGTTTCAGGGGAGGACAGTCCCGTCCAGAGTACTGTGAGAAGCCTCTTTGAGCTCATGTGCCTTGCCTCCTGTGGTGGACTTAGGGAGAAGTGGGAGACTGACACGGGGATGGGGTGGGGTGGGGTGGGGTGGTGGGGAACAATGCCAACATCTTCTTCTGCATTGCTCTTGAAATTCCAAAGAAGATTAGGTTTTCTACTCTTTTTGCCTAACAGCTCCTTGGGGTATACAGTTAGCTATCACAGGCACATGCGTCTGGGAAGGATTAGTCATAAATTAGTTAATATTTATATGTTTAAGAAGTTATATATGTGAGGGGCACCTGGGTGGCTCAGTCAGTTAACTCACGGGTTCGAGGCCCGCATCCATTGTTCTCTGTGCTGACAGGTCAGAGCCTAGAGCCTGCTTCAGATTCCGTGTCTTCCTCTCTCTCTCTTTCTTTGCCTCTCCCCCACTTACACCCTGTGTCTCTGTCTCTCTCAAAAAATAAACATTAAAAAAAAGTACAGAAAGAAGAAGTTATATACACGAGAATAGAAAGGAGTATAAAAACCTTTACAGACTCCATGCCGAGGTACACAAATGACACCCAGCTTTATTAACGGAACATGTATATGAGCAGTTACACAGATAGGCCAAGGTAAGTAGCCTATAACAGTAAAATGAGTGTTTTCAGAAAAGCAAATGAGTATCATGGGTATTTTTTTGACCTGTGCCCTGGGGATTTCTGGAGTATGGATCAACAATAGGATTAGTAGAGTCTTTGAAGGTCTTTCACCCTTCACAGTTCTAGAAAACTGCTGGTGCCTGTCCATTGCTCCAGAATTCTATAGTGGGTTGTAATTTCATTGGGTCCTAACGCCTATCTCACTCAGAGGTGGATAGCTCGAAGCAGATAAGTATAAATGTGGATCTATCAACAGGCAAGGTTTGCCTTACATTCTTTAGTCTTAATATTTTGTTTGTGACCTTTCCTGGAAGGAAAATAGCTGTATATGAATGGTCAGTTCCTCTAGGTGCACAGTTAGTAACCTGAACTGCTTTATAATGAGAAAGACTCACTACAACCATCTCTACAGATAGATAATCATCTATCTATCCATTCGTCTAGAGATATCCAGGTGGACCGAGAGATTTACACACATACATCTATACATACGTATAGATACATCTAAACCTTCCACCATATATCTGTCTCTCGTCACCAGGAGGAATGCTTTGGGTATAGACAGGGACAAGCAAAAAGAGATAACTGAGAACATTTTATTCTGTTGATATGCCATACCATACTCATAAAGAAAGAGCAGCATATTAGCATCATTTACATTTTGTTTCCAACATGGCATTTTAATAATAATCTCAGTGATCAGTGTTTATTGATGAGTTATTATTAAAAAAAACAAATCAATTAAACAATACTGATGTGAATGGAGATGCAAAAGTAATTAAATTTAAAACGAGTTTCCATTCTTCACGAAACTGTGGAAAACTCCCAGTTGGATACAGTAGCTGGGGGATGGTATGTTTTATTTAATCAATGTTCTTATTAGATCAGTTACTTCCATGCATGGATGTACTAGATTTTTAAATATCAAGCATTCCCTCATTAATTAAGAAAGTTTTTCAGAGTACTGAGCTCCCTTGGAATTATAATAATAATAATTGCCTAATGACAGCAACCAAACCAGTTAACAAAATGTACTTGGAATAGAAATGGCTATTTGCAAACGATGTATGTTTGGACTCTGAAGAATTTTCAGTTATGATTTTACACAGATCCTACAAATAATTTCCCCAGCCCATGTACAAAACTGTGGCATTTTCTAGGCTTCTTTTAAAACTACAAACACTGAAAGAAAAAAAATACTATTCCTACCCATCACTGGGTATACAAAAGACTAGATTGAAGTGATTATGTAGGTTGGCCCAATAAATAATCATTTGTCCAGAGTATTCTGATCACTGAAGCAAGAGTGGTATCGGACTAATTACATAAATTATCTAATTCCCTTAGTGTATACAGAAATAATTATTAACACATTGCACTTGCATGAAACTTTTTATATTGAACTTAGACAGTTTCGTATTTTTCAAAATATTCTCACCTTCATGTGACTTGAAGCAATGCCATGTGGTAGGTCAGATTACCCCCAGTTTCCTCAGAGTAAGCTGAATTCAGAAACAGTTAAATGTGTCCAAGGTCACATGGGTCATGAAAAGAAGCAGGACTTCTATTCAACTTGCAACACAAGGCTTCCCCCATCACACATTGATGGCTCCCATAACTAAGTTATTCTTGATTTTTTTTATACTAAAATAAATGCACGGTCTATTTCCTTTGATATTCACACCACTCCCTGGACTTTGCAAAGAAGTCGTAAAATTCTCTAGTACTGCTAACACGAGAAGTCACTCATCCATGTGAAATTATGTTTTCTTCCTTTAAAAAAAACCCAAAAAACTTCCCCAACAACACATCAGTTAGTCTCTGAAAATAAGATGGCAAATCGCAGTAAAGTTGTGAAAACAAAGACGCAATAGTCTTTCTCCAGTGCGGGCTTGTTGCCATGAGCTAATAATTCCAGACTTTGAGTAAGCCGAACCTCCTTTTTAATAACCATATGCCTCTAGGTAAAGTATTTCTACTAAAAATTATTGAGGCATGGAACAAGGTAAGATGTGTGAGCTCATGTTGGATTGTTCAATTACTACACTGAGTCCCGTAGCATTAAGCGCTTTCCAACTTGACAGATTATTCCTCTTTATACACTTGTATAAACACACTGCTTACGGCCGAAATCTATGTAAGCTTTTCTTTCAATTAAAATGTCAAGGATGACAGACTGTGTTTTTGGTGTCCTTAACAGAATGAAAGGTACCATAGCAAGCGATTTCATGTCCTCATTTTTACCCCCAAAGGATGTTTTCCAGTCTAGGGGTGTCTGAAAAGCAAGGTCTGTGTCTGCCAGCCTTTGCCCCTGGACCAGCCTGACTATCTTTAAGGAGCTAAGGGCCGGTGCTTTCTTTTGGAAGGTCTCAGGAGGGTCCCTATAGACTGCTTTCCTTTCCTGGATCTCCCAAAGATCCAGGACGTCATTTAAACTCAGGACAGACAAATCTGTCAGGTAGGTGGCCGGGCAAAGGGAAGAAGCAAGCAATAAAAAAAAATAAGGTTAAAGAATTGGAAGATCAGTATTAGCATCAAAATGAGACCATGGAAGTCTAAGAGAATCATGAGGAGATAATAAATAACAACTTGGAAGGAGGGGTGTGTGCAGAATAATATAAGAAGCTTCAAAGTGATAAAATGGAAAGAAGAGTGGGCAGGAAGCAGGAGATCCAGATGCTACTGCCATTAGAGTTTCTGGCTTTGGGGGAGAGACTTTCTTCACTTTGGGGCTCTCCACTTCGTCATCTATTTCATGAATGGATCAGACGACGGGCCATCTGGAAATACCCTGAAGCTCTAAAATTCAGATTCTAGATGTACCTGGGCGGCTCCGTCAATTAATCATCCGGCTGTGGTTCAGGTCATGATCTCACAGTTTGTGAGTTCAAGCCCCCGGTCAGGCTCTGTGCTATCAGTGTGGAGCCCCCTTTGGATGGTCTGTCTTCCTCTCTCTCTGCCCCTCCCCCACTCACTTGAGCGTGCACACACACGCTCTCTCACTCTGTCTCAAAAATTAATAAACATTTTTTAAAAATTAAAAAAATAAAATTCAGATTCTAGGTCTTGAAAATGAAATGTTCTTAATCGCAATACACTATATGTTTTATTATGATCAGGGCACTGGCTTGCTGACCCAGCACACAGTGCA